TACCCCCATGGAAGTTCTGCAGGCCTGAGGCAGCCTCTATTTTAGGGGGTGGACACATGAGTTTTAGCATTTCAATATTACAGTGCTCTGGAGCTTATATTAATTGAAAGTGACCAGAAAGGCTTTGGGACCTGATAAAATGTCATTCAGGGACAGTAAAGAACAGGTGGAAAGAAGACATTTGAAATGAGTAGGGGCAGAGAGAGTAAAGTTACTTTTTGCTCGCACCATGCTGAGTCCAGCTTGCTCAATAAACTGGTAACATCTATTTAATTCTACTCTGAGAGAGAGAGAGACAGGCACAATTTGCATATGCTTTTTTATTGTGGTAAAATATACATAACATAAAATTTACCTTCTTAACCATTTTTAAGGGTACAATTCAGTGGCATTAAGGACATTTACAACGTTGTGCATCCATCACCACTATCCATTTCCAAAACTTTTGCATCATCCTAAACTGAAGCTCTGTACCCATTAACCACAAATTCCCCATTCTTCCCTCCCCTCAGCCCCTGATAACTACTATTCCACTTTCTGTCTCCATGAATTTGCCTATTGTAGGTCCCTCATATAAGTGGAGTCATATAATATTTGTCCTTTTGTGTCTGGCTTATTTCACTCAGCATAATGTTTTCCAGGTTCACCCATGTTGCAGCATGTATCAATACTTCATTCCTTTCCATGACTGAATAATATCCCATTGTATGTATATACCACATTTTGTTTATCCATATATCTGATGATGGACATTTGGGCTATTTCCAGCTTTTGGCTATTATAAATAATGCTGCTACGAACATTGGTGTACAAATCTGTTCAAGTTCCTGTTTTCAGTTACTTTGGGTATATATCTAAGAGCAGAATTGCTGGATCAAACGATAATTCTATGTTTAACTTTTCGAGGAACTGCCAAACTGTTTCCATAGTGGCTGCACAATTGTATATTCCTGCCAGCAGTACACTAGGGTTCTAGTTTCTCCACATTCTTGCCAACATTTGTTATTTTTCATTTTTGTTTTTATTTTTTGATAATCCTAGTAGGTGTGAAGTGGTATCTCACTGTGGTTTGGATTTGCATTTCCCTAATGATTGAACTTGTCGAGCATCTTTTCATGTGCTTATTGGCCATTTGTATATCTTTGTAGAAATGTCTATTCAAGTCCTTTGCTCATTTTTGAATTGGGTTGTTTGTTTTTTTTTGTTATTGTTGAATTGTAGGACTTCTTTATATATTCCAGATATTAGTCCTTTATCAGATATATGATTTGCAAATATTTTCACTTATTCTATGTATTATATTTAACTTTTCACTCTCTTGAGAGTGTCCTTTGATGCATGAAAAATTTTAATTTTGATGAAGTCCAATTTGTCCATTTTTTCTTTTGTTGCCTATGCCTTTGGTGTCATATCCAAGAAATCATTGCCAAATCCAATGTCGTGAAGATTTTCCCCTACGTTTTCTTCTAAGAGTTCTATGGTTTTAGTGCTTAATTTTAGCTCTTTGATCTTTTTTTTTTTTTTTTGTGAGGAGGATTGGCCCTGAGCTACCATCTGTGCCCATCTTCCCCCATTTTGTATGTGGGATGCCACCACAGCATGGCTTGATGAGTGGTGTGTTGGTCCGCGTCTGGGGGTTCAAGCCTGCGAACCCTGGGTCACCGAAGTGAAGCACATGAACTTAACCACTATGTCACTGGGCCAGCCCCTCTTTGATCTTTTTTGAGTTAATTTTTCTATATGGTATAAAATAAGAGTCCAATTTCATTCTTTTGCATGTGGAAATCCAGTTTTCCCAGCATCATTTGTTGAAAAGACTGTCCTTTCCCCATTGAATGGTCTTGGCATCCTTGTTAAAAATCAACTGACCATCTATATGAAGGTTTGTATCTTGACTCTATTCTATTCCATTGGTCTGTATGTCTATCCTTATGCCAGTAATGCACTTGCTTTCTAAGCTGTAATATTTTGCCCTCATCCTATCATTACATAATTCTGAAAATGAATAGAAACAGATATCATTATTGACAAAATAAATCATATTTGTGGCATCATTGCCTGTTTCTGTCAAGTATAATAAATATCTTTAACAGTTCACAGTATTGTAAAAATAACTCTATCAAAATTCTTAAAAATTTGCCAGAAGCCTCAGACTCCTTTTTTTCCTTCACTATGATTCCTCTCACATAGGCACTGCCCTGGACTTTACTCTGATAGAGTAAAAGCCAAAGTCCTTTTACTAAAATGACCAAGGCCCTGTATGATCTGGTGGGTCACTGCTCACCCATGTCTCTGCCCTCACTTCTTAATTCTCATTCTGCTCCAGCAACATTGGTATACCCACCCCAGGACATGTGCCCTGTGCCTCAGTACTCAGTCAGGCTCTCCGTGACCACCCTATACAAAATAACCACCTCTTCCCTCCCTCCTCCATACCCTTTCTCTGCCTTATGTCTCTTTATGGCACTTATCAGCATCTGACATCCTACACGTGTACTTATTTGATTATCATCTGCTCTCCCAACACCAACAGAATTTAAGCTTTATGAGGGCAGGGACTCACCACCAAAGAATAAATGAATGAATGAATGCTTTAGAGAAAAATATAGTGATTCCTTCTTTATTCGTTCATTCGACTAATATTTATTGAGAATTTACTGTAGACCAGGCACTAAGCTGAAAACACAGTGGACATTAAACATGCAGAACTTGTTAAATGGATGCATAAATCTAAAATATGAAATTAAATGAGTTTTTTAAAGGGGTGGGTGGGTTAGATAGTCTCATAGACGGCAAGTCCAGACTGGAAGCCTGAAAGACATACCAAGGTTCTGAGGTCAGAGCACACTGCCCTTCAGCTATTGCTCAATGCACCAAGGTGGAGGGCTGGCCCCGCCCTAACTCCTAGATTCTATCTCCAGGGAATCTGGGATGCGGATTCATTGCAGCTAGTCATTCTTTACCGGTCTTGTGAACAGAAGTGGCAGGGGCAAATTGTCCTTCCACAAACACCAGTCACTGGTGCCCAGGACAGCCTGCAGGTCAGGCTCATGTCCTCCTGGGGAGCCTTGTTAGGGACTGTGCAGGGACAGAGGAACAGAGCCCTCGAAGAGTGTGATCATGTTCACAATCTATATTTGACTTGTACTATATTTTCATTGCTGCTGGGGAACAGGCCAAGTGGAAAATGTGTGCTGTTCTAAATAAAGCACCTACCTCTCTATACCTCCTAGATTTAGGTTGAAGCTGAAGGCGTAGCCTGGGCAGCCAGCGAAGGGCTGTGGCAGGCCTCAGTAACAGGATACGTGTACCACTTAGAGCAGGACAGGAAGGGCAATATTGGCAGGCGTTGGGGTCCGGCCTGGGCTTACATTAACTGAGTGGAGAGTGGTGTTGTAGCCTAGCAGGGGGTTATTACAGCTTCCTGGTAAGGGGTGAAGCCTAGGGTGGGCGTTCCTCACCCAACCCTCCTCCTAGCACTTGGCAGGCGCAGGCGCTCATAAGTGATTATAAGTGACTGAAGGCTTAAGTGAGCCCTATCCTCCCGGGTCGTCCAGACGCGCGTCCACGCTAGAGGGTACACGCCGGGTCGGGGGGAGGGGGCCTGGCGAGTGGGGGGGGCAACGAGGACGCGCTGGGAGGGCGGGGCTGCGAGGGGGCGCCTGGGGGCGAGGGAGGGGTGGGG